TATGACGAAAAATAGGCAAAGAACCCCAGTGTATAAGGAGGTCTGTTACTGCCTTACTCAGTTTGGTGTTCCCCTGAAGAGTAGCTTCACGGTAACGAATTTGCAACTTGCACAGTATGTAGCAGGGCTTTTCAAACATGGATGCTTCATGTGGGGAGTTCTGGTAGCCTTGTTTAGGACAGGGAAGAGATAAGTCATCTGGTGGCTTCATTTGTATCTTCTGAAGAATAAGCAGAAGTGTATGTGGATGGCTGAGACCACAGATTCTGATTTTTGCTATTCATGCAACACCCTAGAGGTAGAAGATCATTTGAGAAATGGATCCCGTGGTTACAATGTGGGTAATGTTTGTCTGTTTAATTCTGTAGAGCAATCAAATAGACAGAGATAAATTCGATTTGCTAATACATCAGTAAGTAAAGACCTGGAGAGGGAAATCTGACAAGTTTTCCTAGCATAAAATTCAAAGCCTGTGTCAGATATTAACAACACGCATACTGGTTTTCAGTTCTTGTAACAGCATTTGTAAGTAATGTAGCCTGTGTTTAATCCTTAAATTTGACAGAATAAAACTTAATACATCATACCTTTAATCTTATCTGGCAATAAGCATAACTTTTATAAGCAAGAATGTTTATTATCAGGAAACATGTAGCACTATTAACGTTTTCAGTAGAAATGTGGGTTACTCTTGTGGTAGCAGGAGAACAGTCCATGCAAAGCAGTCTGTCCTTCAGGAAGGGCTGTTCACAGAGTGGATAGGTGTATTTTTTGGGATGCCAGTTAATAGAGTGTGAGTGCAGGAGCCTCTGCCAGGGCCAGTCAGGAGCTCTGACATACTTGTGGGGATGAGCCTCCATTCGTGAGAGAACAGCAAAATCTGTAAACTAAACAATCTGTAGTCTATTGAAATAGCAGTCTTCATGTGATACTACTGCAATTGCAATTTGTGCACCTTTTGCCAAAGGAAGGTGATTTTACAGCACTTTGCCATTTGTAGGCAGTATTTTATGATTGCAACTACCTGTGAAAATGTATTCTTCTTGCTTAGTTTGTACTAAGTTTCTCTGATTTTCTCTGATTGAGAAAACTATGTTCATTTTTTAAACTGTGTGTGTGACTATCGCAGAAATGTACTTGAATGTTTACATTTGAACCCGATACTAGGCTGTACTTGGGTATTTGCATGTGTGTGAGACTTGGTTATAGCTTAAACACAACAAAACAAAATTAGATTTTCCTGACGTTTATACTGGGAGTTGTTAGAGAAGTAACTTCTTAGTATTGTAACTTTTGATATTACATTTCTGTATTATTTTAGAGGAAAAAGAGAATAGTTAAATGGTGAAGAAAATGGAATGAACCTTTAGCAAGAGTAACTGTTGTTATTTCTTAACTATAAGAAGTCCACTATTTCTCCTTCTCTTTCTTCACAGTTAGCAAAAGAATGAGAAAAGACGTTGTAAATGAAGCCACTCCCCACAACTGGACAGTCCATGTTCATTCATGCAAGGACAAAATTAGGTTGGGTTGGGTTATGTCATAAAGCACTTGACTAATACAAAACCATCTAAACTAAACTTTATTAAACCTTAATGAGATGTCACCTCTGAGCATAGGATAGACAGAAATAATACTAAAACGAAGACTTTTTTTTTTGTAGAGTTACAAGTCCTTGCAAATTCAGGTGAGAAAGAATGTAGCTTCTCTTTCAGCTATATAGTACTACTGCTGAAGTCAGTGAATTTAGTGTATCCTCCCATTCACTGCAAATAGTGGATTTACAGCTACTTTAGTGTTGAAGAAAAAATGATTACCAGTCTTATTCCTATTGAATTAACATTATGCTGTATCTGATGATTATTGTGGTTTTTGCTCAGCCATCTTGGTAAATGCCTTTCTTTGGCATTTATGCCAAATGTTTAAGCAATTCTTGCTTGAAATTGGGAATTTAAGGGAGGGTGTTTAAGTTCTTACAGATAAATAATAATTCTGTTGTGAAAACAATTTAATATAAACAGTGTTAAGAATATAGGAGTTCAGTAAACTGAAGGCAAGGTATTGTTTTTGGCTTTACTAGGATTGTCTTTAGTCTCTTAGTTTGTCTTCACTGAAGAAAATCTCCATATTCTTTTTACATCATCTTACCTCTTTGTGCTTTGCTTAATATCCTTTACAAGCCTGACTAGACTGTCAAGAAAGAGCGTTTCCATTTGTCTTTTTTAAGACTGCTGTTCTAACCACCATTCTGGAGTCTTCCTCTGCAAGGTTTTTATCTTTGTAGGATCCGATGTCTCATCTAAAAGACTCTCATGTCTTTTACTTAAAAGCCTTCTCTACGTTCAGATGTCCATGCTTATAAGTATGTTTCGCTCCCTTGATTAGCTTTCTTACCAGACTTTGCCTTTTTAAGGTCCTAAATCTTAGTAATATGTATACTTGCTTATCCTTTCACTGTATTTAATCATGCATCCCAGTATTATTTTTATAATTGGCTCTTGTGTACTATTTTCCTTGGTTACCAAAACCAAATGTAGAATAGCCTTACATCTTGTTGGTTCACTGACAACTGAATTATTTGTCATCTATGACCAAAGGAAATAACTGCGTTCTGTTTAGGTCTCTGGTTAGGACTGCTTGTTTCCAAATCTGTATCTGGGATGTTAGTTTTCCATAACACAATTCCTAGTAGTATTTGTTTGTCTCCAGGAATGTTTCATTTTGATTCATGTCTGAATTGATAGCTGATTCCTGCCACTATCCTATGCAGCCTCTTTTCCCATATTTTCCCAAAGTAATTTGAAACTACTGAGAGCATGTTAGTTTCTCTATCCCATTTTATAGATGCTAAGTTAAAAATTTAACAAAACTGGCAGTACAAGGAGGGAAAAGTTAGTTAGGCAAGGGGGAAATAGTGAGCGTTTCAGGAAAAAAAATTGAGATTAAATGAGAAAATTATGAGAGAAGAATCAGTGAGGAAGCATTTTTGAGAAGGCAGGAACCACAAAGGAAAAATCTGTACCCCCCCAGAAGTGATTTCAAAAAGAGTTTCTGAAAATGAACAGTAAATGCACAGAAATAGAGAGACAGAGGGCTCAGACTAGCCTTTTGATGGCCTACTGGGGAAAAAAAAAAAAAAAAGAAAAGCTGTGGAATAATTGAAAAAGCAGGCTATGCTATTTTCAGTTGGGCACTGAAACACTTGATACCACTAGGTAAAATTGGCAGATTCAGTCAAGTTTCCTCCTCCCAACCATAGCCTCCTGTGAGGAAATCGGAGGTTGCATCTCAGATAAAGAAGTCCTAGAAATCTAGCTGAGAGGACACGGACACAAATGAAGACCAAGGTTTCTACTGAAGCAGATATCAGATAAGAGCTTATATGTAATGTCACAGAGGTGGTGGAAGACGTATACATGACTTACATGTCAGGTTTATGGAAGCATGAACAGAAGCGTAAGCAGAGATTCACGTGTCCATGCTTTGCAGAGTTATCTTAAAATTTTGAAATGTAGCCACAAATGATGTGGCAGAAGAGAGAGGAGATTAGATAGATGGAAATCTTTGCGATGTTGACATATATGAGCAGCTGAGAAGTTGAAAGGTGGTACCTAAAAGATAGACGTAAGCTTGCCTATAGAGAGGCAGCAAAAAGAGTAAGGATGAAGAGCGTGAAACTTGTGAGCAGCATGCCAGGCATGAGACATGAACACAGAGAAAAGCGGTACCACTGCACCCTAGGTGCGTAGTTTAATAGCTGCACAGAAAGGATCACCACCCATGGGCGTAACTCAGGACCTGGTTCCAAAGTGTTGAAGGGTTGAAGGAGGCTGAGGAAAGACAGAAAGAGTAAGGACCAGCAAAAAGTAAGACTTAACAGCTGTAGTCAACAAGCTACAAGTCTGGAAATGGCCAATGATAAGCTGCAAAATGGAAGTAGTGAGGGGGAAAGGAAGAAATGCTTTACTAGAACATGAGGTTCTGAAAAAGATCTGAATAGGAGGAGGGGGGAGTTGTTTTCTGAGAAAACAAATGTTTGCTTCGTATCCTTTCAGAAGGTAACACAGGCAGAACCATTGACTCCAGCAGTAATGGAAGGGAAAGCTGATGGAGCGAGAGCAAACAAGAGGGAGATTAAAGTACCAGGTGATTTTGGGAAGAGGAGTAGTGACAGATACAGACAGGAAGTGAAGGACAGAGGGAGAGGAAGGGAAAGGTGGACAGAGCTCTTAAATGAAAGGGTTGAGGTTTACAGAAGTGTCTGTAGTTCAGCTCTGTTGTCAGTGGAAAGGTGATCTCTTGGAGAATGTCTCAGGAGCCCAATATCTTTGAACTGCCCTTTGAAGAAGCCGGTTTCTGTGTTGCCTATACAGGTAATTTGGGCTATTTTGCCCACAATGCTGGTGTCCAAGTTCATCGCACAGTTACTCTATGCAGTTACTTTGTAACCTGCTTGTACATGTTGTCAGGTGTGAAGCGGTTCCAAGAGTAAATGGGTAGCAGAGGCGGGGACGGAAGGGGGTGAAATTAATACAGTGTACATCAGAGTAAAGAGTAAGCAGCCATTTTAGCAGTGTAGAAAGAGCAGAAATATATGTGTAGCCTAGGAGGGCAACTTGTAAGAATTATTTCATTAATTGTCTGCAATTGCAAGGGTGAGTTTAGGATTTCAAGAATTCTGGTCCTGGTTGGATTCTTATCTGTCCATTCAACCTGGCCTTGCTGCTCATCTGGGTTATTTCCATCATGCTATTATATAATGTTCCCATGCTCTGCTAAACAGCTGTCATCATCTTCTGTTCAAGTGGCTTCCTTGTGTCAGAGAAGAAATGATTCCGCTATACAAGAGCTCTGTAATGTCTGATACACTCCTAGCTTGACATACTGTGTAAAAGTCTAACACTATTAAGTTTTAGCAACTTTTACAGGTTCTTTTTTCCTTGCCATTGACTCTTAAGCATGTTCGTCATGGGCCATTTTCTCTAACCCTTCTCTTTCAGAATGACTATCGCAAGCTGTCTATGCAGTGCAAGGATTTTGTGGTTGGTGTTCTTGATCTCTGCCGAGACTCGGAAGAAGTGGAGGCCATTCTGAACGGGGATTTGAATTCTGAGCCAGTTGAAGCGCAGAGACACAGGGCATCACTGAGTCGTGTGAAGCTGGCCATTAAGTATGAAGTCAAAAAGGTAACTCCTCATAGCCAGTGCTTTCAGACAGTGTAACAGGAATGCAGTGTCACCCCATTATTCCAGAGGTGTTAGGAACTGGTGGTCAGATGCATTACTGAGACATAGTGTGTGTAATTAAGATTCCCACAAGGCGGAAGCTGGCAGAAAGGGACTACAGTGAAGGAGTTTAGTTTAATCTACTTTCCACAGTTGAGAATTGGTGGGACATTTTAATGACATAAATCAGCTGTGCTAGCAAGGTTATACACAGTTGGTCAGATCCTTCTCTTAATTAATCCAAAAGAAGACATTTCAGTGGAGCCAGATTTTCACTCAATGAAAGTAAGGATGTGTCTTCCTGCCAGTCTGTGTGATAATATCTAATCCAAAGAGAAGGTTGTACCGGTGAAAGTGTGGGTTTTAACCAGTGAAAAAATCTGGTCTGTTTGTTATTTCTTTTTATTACCTTTGCTTTCTACCTTAACTAACTTAATTGGGCAAGTAAATTCTGGAAAGTAAGTCTTGCAGCTTTCTACTATCAACACATAGGTGTTTTTCTTTAAAAAAAAAAAAAAAGTCTTGTTTTTACTACTTTGAGAAAGGAAGAGAGAACATCTGAGTTGTCATTAAGTATATTAATTTTTTAATTTATTTTAAAATATGACAGTACATCAAACAGCTCATTTGCAACTGTGTGGGTTTAGTGAGAAATTCTACATGATCTGCAGTGTGTGTTCCTTTAAAAAATATTTTAAAATTCCATACTGAAAATGTATGGAATATATTCCATCCATATATATTCCATATATATCAGTTCAGTTCTTCATCTTTGCACCTGTATTTATAGGTGTTTTGTAAAGTGCAATGTGTTTTCAGTTGGTGCCTCTCAGAGTAATTTTTAATGAGCAGTTATTTTGTGAATGAATGTTATGTGTTGAAAAATGGGGCTGTGTATCACACATTTGACATAATGCATATCCATTTATTGTAGCAGTTCTCAATATATAGCTATGTTCTTCTTTTCAAGATCCCACTACCCTAGCACAGAAAAAAGTTACTACTGTGTCCTACTGTGAGAGGACTCAAGAAATACAGCAATGCCTATGTATTATTTACAGCTACCTATTTACGTCGTTAGCATCATTTCCATTTTTAACAGCCATTATAGTTTCATCATCTCTGCAAGAAGTCTTGTGTCTTTCAGAATAAGTAACACTTTATTCTGTGGCCACCTGTTGAGCCAATCTGCCATACAAAACAAATGGTAAGCAACCTGCCAGAACTGGGGAGTGTTGGTGTTTGTTATGTCCCCAAAAGATGGTTAACAAAAATTGTAAACATGGATCCCAGACAGCAAATAATTGTTTCCAGTATAGAATTGGTCTCCAGCAGATAAATGCATATTACCAAAATTCAAGTTAAATATATAGAAGTATTAAATTAATTAAAAAGAATGGAACGGGGAAAGAATTAAACTACGTAAGCATCATACCTAAGAAACATGATTTCTTTATGCTGTTGCATATTAATGTTACCAAACCTTTGCTGAGACTTGTGTCTCAGCTTTCTTGCTGAAGACTGTGGTTTTCTTCTAAGAGGTTGTTGTCACTGATTAAATTAATTGCTGAACAAAGGGCCCTGCAGGTCTGTTAAGAATAACAAAAACCTACGTAGTGCGAAAAAAGACAATTCCATGTAGCAAACTTATTCTCTTCTCTTGCAAGAGATTAATTATTTGTAGAGAAGCTCAAGGCTTTTACTCCAGTTGGTGACAAACACAGTTCAGAACCTGCAAAACTAATGGTCTTGGTGGAAGGAAATAAATAGATGGTGCAGAGTTGTTACCATATCCATACGTGTGCTGTTCCCTGTAAATGGCCATTACAGAGGGCATGATGAGGATTGAGCCAGGAAATGTCACTACCATGGTGGTCCTTTGATGCTGGGATTGGCTCCATTGCAACTGTGGCAGATGGTAGTGATGTTCTGACAGTAGAACAGATTCAGATGTGGGAACTCCACAAGGGATGCTTCCAACCCTGTAACTGTAGGAAGCAGACAAGGATGTGGCTTATGTTTCCTAGTTTTCAGTATTCCTAGCTACTCTTCTGGGCCAGCTACGTTAAGGCCAGTTCACTGTTGCGAGACAGATAGTACAGCCAAATGGAACTGCAGGTCCATGAAATGGTTAATGACCTGTATGCCCTTTTCAGAGGGAGGAGAGACAGGAACAAGCGTATGACAAGTGAACAAATGTGCTCAGAAGTTCACTGCTAGGGAAATGGAGTTTTTAATTCTATTAGTAATGAAACCCACGCCCTACGCACTGCATTAAAGTGTAGCTCATCTTGTAAACAGGATGTGATTTTTGAAGCTAAGGTTTAGACTGCAATTGCAGCCCCAATAGTGAAGGACTAAGGGAATTAAAAAACCAAGAATCACTAGTTAGAACAAGTAGTCATGCTCTTATGCTGAATTTCTGCCGCAGTAGTGCTTTTAGTGTTGTATCGTAACTCTGTCTTTTGGATTGCGAACAAAATTTCAGAGAAGCTGCTGACACTGGGCCAAGTTCTGCAGTTTTTGCTAAGATAAAAATCAGAGTGGAATTTCCGAGTGAAACCAATGAGTTCGAGTAAAATCACAGGATTTAATTTTCTAACACTGAAGTTTCTAATTGATAGATAGGAAAGAAGGTTCAAAATTCTCTTTATATGTTGTGTGTTTGTGCATCAGAGTGTGCCAGGATCTGTTCCTTCTATGTCTAAACTCAGTCATTAGGATGGCAGGAATAAATAAAGTTATAATCACTCTTAGTCATACAGAAAAATATTTGCATACTGATAACTTGGTTCATGGTCATGAAGCTGAATGCATCTGAAGTGTTGCAGTCAATTATGACTGGAAAAGCAGCTAAATTAAAATTGGGATTTTTACAGTGACCAGATACTGTCCTCATGCATCTTTGTTGTTTACTGGGGTTTGGACTGGATCCTAAAATATTAGATAAATGTGATTAAGAAGATCAACATATAATGAGAAGTAAGAAACTGCATGGAAAGTATTCTTTCTGCATTCCTCTTCTCTCATCCTAAGGTTGTAAGGTGATGTGATTGGTAGGTGAAATATGATATGAATCTACTGTCCTTGGAGGAGATGAAGCCATAGGTGAGACAGATATATGGGGGAAAAAGCATAGAAGAGGTTGCAGTTGCTGAAAATAAAACCAACAAAATCATAAATTGAAATATTTCAGCAGAGCTGGAGAGAAGGATGAATTTCAGAGCTTTTATGGATGAGAGAAGTGACATGAGTTGCTCTGAGGGCTTGGAAGTGGTGCATATTGTGCAGCTGCCAACCGTTAAATAAGTTGCTAAGATCTTTTCAAGAGGCCTTAGACTTACTGCCAGAGTAGAACTTGCTATAGTCATTGGCATCTTATTCACCAACTCCTCCCTTTTCTGGGGGAAATTATAGCACAGGCAGATCTCCTCTTAGCATCAGATCAAGATGTTGATAGACCAGGAGGAATAAATGAGCACACAGCTCTAGATGAGACACAAGAGGGCCCGTGGGCTGATTCATAGCCTCGAGCGAGCTCCCCCTTCAAGCTCCTTTGCTGCTTCTTCCCATTCCCTCTGGTAACAGGAGAGAATGATGTGTGTGTTTCTTCTCTCTCCTCTTCCCTACAGTTTTAAGCCTGCTTTTTAAAAATGTTGTTGTAATTTGAAATAACTATTTACTTTCCTGTCTTTGGCCATAGTTGATCTGCTGTGGGATTTGTCCCTTCATGTCCTGAGTTGAGAATTGAATTTATCTCAGCAAAAGAAGAGACTGGGGCCATGTGTCAGAATGCACAAATACACAAAAAACAGTCTTCTCTTTTTTCAAATGGGCCAGGCTGGCAGATTTTATGGTGTATAAGCTTAAAAGGTGGCAGCCTAATAAAAAAGAATACAAACATAGTTCAAGTTGACATTAGTGTCTTAAAAGACCTTTAGAATCTTTTTATTTATTTTGTTGGCCATTCCACTATAGGTACAAACTGAATTAATATGTGATCTAACAGGTCAATGCTTTCAGACTTTTGTTTTAGAGCAAAGTAGATTAAAATACGAAGATTGCTTCCCTTTTTTCCAAGTTCATGCAACAGCTTCATATTCCTCCTCTTGAGAGTTTTAAGGTTCCCTGCTTTCATTGCCAATGATTTAGTTTTATTTTTTTAAGAAGTCTGCCCTATTGTGTTACTGTATGCACTTTTTAATGAGATTTGGAATATAAATGGAGATTTGCAGACAAGACCTGGCAAACAACAGTGTATATAGTACATTATGATCTCAACAGAGCACAGAGGATAATAAAATGGACATCAAAGGTTTACATTATTTTTTAATGTTTTTTTAAAGTATAAGCAACTCGGATCAAATCTCACTCTTAATCCAACATAGATTATCAGAGTTATTAGAATTATTTTCAGATCCTTTTTGTGAAACTACCTAGCATTCTTTACTCTGATTTACTAGTTATTGTCAACCAGTGTGACAAGTATGTTACCAGATTTCTTCAAATTGCTGTGATAACCAGGCTGTTCACCCTTGTGTTTAACTGATGTCCCACATGCTGTTTTGAAGTGGCAGTCTCACAGGACATGGTATAGTAATAGTGATAATGGTGAGTATGATTACACTTTATAAATGGACTTAAGTAGAAATGTAAATATAATGGGCAAAGAATGTAGGGAGCTATAGAAATCTTCTTCCCTCCCACCCCTTAGGTTTCTTCAGTAGCAGTACCCAGCATGGGCTACACACTCCTGGTTACATGACATGACCCTGATGGAGTGGCTGCAGAGTCTCCTCTGTCCACATTGCTTCATCCTAAAGAAATATAACAGTGCTTTAAAAATAGAGCAATACATGCTCACCCTTCAACAAACTTGACCAAAAGTGATTTTAGTAAAATAAAACTTAAAGCATATCTAAAGAAATGCAGTTGTTGGCAGCAGCTTGTTCTATCATTCCATAATTAGTTTGGGAATCATTCCCTTTCCCTGTGAACATACTGAAATCTTACTGAAGCTAGGAAAATAACATTTGCATGTATTTGCTGCAATAGGAGAGAGGTGGAAGTTAACTGGTTTTGGGTTTGTTTTTTTTTAAGTGGGTATTAGATCCTTAATATGTACCAGTTTAGTATCGTAACATTTCAATCGTTGCTCCCTTTCACTTTTGGGACACTTAAGGAAGAATTTGTGGAAGCTAGGGACAAACACAGCTTGCACAAAAGGCTTGGGAGAGCAAGTCTGTGTTGTAATAACTGTCTGAGGAGAAGTTGAGCATTAATCCTAAGCCTGTTTTTCCACTTGTCTGATTGGCTTTTCATGACTAGATCATGATAAATTCACTTGAGGCCCTATTTCTTTGTCTTGATGTTTATCTGCCCACCCCTATTTTAAAGCAGTTGGTTACAAAAGTTCTTGATGCTGTCTGGGCTCTGCCTAGTTAAGGTTAGTTGAAATTTTACTATTGACTTCAGTGGGCATCAGATAGTCAAAAGAGAGTAAGTATTTCAAAAATCATCTTTCACGTGTCCATGTCTGGGTACAAGAAAACTAAGTACCAAAATTTGGATATGGAGTTGAACATTCAAAATATGGCCTGACATTCAATGAATTGAAATTCAGCAATAGCTGTGTATGCTTAGACTACTGACAATCAGGACATTCTTGTTTAAATGCCTGAATAAATCAACTTTTGGTCATTTTATCAGAGACTGTATTTATTCAGATATTTGTATACATCTACTCTTGTGGTTTCCTCTATTATGTTTGATACCTTTTAGTCCTTCTGCTATAGGAAAAATGAGCAAATACTTAATAATGACAAATAATAATGTAAATTAATCAGCAAAGATAAAAGGAACATCTCATAAAAGAATTTGTTAAAAATAAAATTACCTTGCTCAGAAATCACTGAAATGTTTATATGTTTCAGTTAACATATACCACCTCAAATCTTATTTGAGCCTTCTGCAGTATGTTGTTAAGCTGTTAACAACTCACTAAAACACAAAGAATAGCGTAATACTCTATAAGTGATAACAATCTCTACATTCAGGGATCTTTAAAGTAGTGAAAAAACAAAAGTTATTTTTAGAAACTGTTGAATTTGAGGATTTAATGTTTTTCAGCTGAGAGTATCAAAGGCATGAACCTAGAGAAAATACAAAACTGTACAGCAAAATACAATTTATTATAGAGTCCTTAGATCATCGTCAAAACCATAAAATCAATTTTTCATCTGGTTCACAAAATTATATTTCCTTGTATTACTGAATGCTAAATTTTATTTTCCACAAAACATAAAAATATGTTCTTCTGACTTCTGACTACTTTGCAAATCCCAAGTACATCTAAGTAGAGGTGATAGCTAGCACCATTAATGGTGGTAAGAGAGAAGAAACCCTTTTAATATTCACCTCTGTGTGTTCTGGAGAGGTTTAAAATTCTGTGCTGTACTTTTACTTCATTTATTTCTTGCCTCAGTAAGCTTTAGGCTGAAAATATATAGATGGTTAAGGAGGTATTTGGAGCCTTTTTCAAAGAACCAAATCAAAGGGCAATGATGTTTGAGGAGGTCTGTGAAGAGCACGTGCAGAAAGGGGAGAGGCTAACAGTGGATTATGGTCAGCCCAGAATTTTCAGTTTCTGCAGAAATTCTGCATGTACCTTGGATCAGCTTGATTTGCTGAGAAATTGTTGAAAGTCAGGACTGAGGCTCAACTCTGACAGGATCCAGTTGGGTATGCGAAGCTGTTCTAATAATACATATAAAAGGCGATGGCTGTCCACATATGCAACCTTGTCCCCAAAGTGCTGCTTTAAATTAGCTCAGCAGTTTCTTCTTTATTAATTAACCTTTATTTTCAAGGTAAGGAGAAAAAAAAATGGTTCTTAAGGTATAAATTAACACCAGATATTTAAGGTGATCATGATCATGTATGTAGCAGTTCTATAACTCTTCTTATAAATTATAATATGTCTTGGTTTTCTTTCTTTGTCTTTACAGTTTGTGGCCCATCCAAACTGTCAGCAACAGCTACTGACTATCTGGTATGAAAATCTCTCAGGATTACGGGAGCAGACCATAGCTATCAAGTGTCTGGTTGTGCTGGTTGTGGCATTGGGCCTTCCATTTCTAGCCATTGGTTATTGGATTGCACCATGTAGCAGGGTACTGAATTTTATAAATTACGTATCTTGTATTATTCTGGGGCTGTTTTTCAATTTCTGGCATTCAAAATGCAGTGTTGTACCTCTGATTCTGCTGCTTCCAAATTTTAACTAATTAATGGTATTTTTAGTAATCTCTAGTCTTGAGCCTAAAGATGCTATTTGTTTTATTTACACTATAAAGAGGGGACCACAGTGGTGAAGCATGAAAATAAGTTGTTGTTAAGTTTAAAGAAAGAAAAACTGTCTCTGAAAGCTTTTTTTCTTCTTTAAATTTCTGTAGATCATGCCCACCTCACAATCTCTGCTATGTAACTGTATTTGTATTAGTAACATGGATTTTTTTGAAAAACACCACTCAGATCCTGTATTAGGTCTCCGCAGCATCAGCTCTTAAGATGCCATCAGTTCCCATATAAACCGTTAGCAGAACATCTGTTGACTTCACTGATGCAGAACTTAACCTTAAGTGAAATATTTGTTATTCCTGCCCTAGGAGGTCTGTTTACCAGATGAACCATAGAGGAGAAAATAAGTTAAATGCAATATTCCAACCATGTGGGGGAGTATATCTGTAAAAGAGCACAAATGTAAACTCTTACCTCTTTAAAATTATATGAAAATATATGGGTGCTTCCAGCTTTCCTGATGATTTCCTGTGATGATTTCTCCTCACAATGAAAATAACAGCAGTTTCTCTGAAATTCTTATAGTCTGTAGCATGTGAATTGTCTGCAAATGAAGCATATTGATAGATCTTTGGTAAATCAGAAAGAGGAAGATTTCTCTGTTACATTAACTTTTTTTTTTTAGAACGTTAAGTAAATTTACTTCTGTGCTGAAAGTGGTCTTTCAGTTTTATTTCCTTAAAAAGTGTACAGCAAAGAACTGTGAGTTTCATTCATTTATATTTTGCTCACGTAGTTCACCTCAAAAGGGATATGCTCATCTCCTGCATATTTTGAGGGAACCTGATGTTTTCTCTGGGTTAACTATTTATTTACTTTAAAGCTTTATGAAAATAGCATAATTGTTACTCCCATTACTCTCTGAAATGTCACTTTCCATGAATAACTGTAGTGGAGATACTCCTCACTCACAGCTGCATATCATAGAAATGTATTAATATAGTTTTAGCTGGTGTCTAATATGGAGAAGTGACATTTGTCCTTGAGCTTTAATTCCCAGTACCAGAAAGACCTGACATTTTTCCTAATGCTCATGTCAAATAAAAGTACTGTACATTCAGATCAGTTGTTTGATAGTGTAATTTCAAAATGCTTTCTAAAGGTCAGGAGCAGGAAAGGAACCTGAGCTTGTTTGCACAGGTAGTAAATGCTGTTAAGTGTGTGCTGGTCTGCTTAGTTCATAGTGGCTGACCCCAGGTTCAGGGAAACCATTCCTTGAAATAAGAAAGCTACTTGTAGTTCCTCATCTGCTGAACTTGTTTTTTTCTTCTTACACAATACTGCTGATAATGCAACTCTTCACAGGGTATTTTGGAATATTGTATAATATTGGAACATTGGTGATGTATGTGATAGTTTATCACATTAGAACTGTATATTCACATTAATAGAAGTCAGGCATTATGTGTGGAACAGAATATTGTACTATCGTACTGAAGGAGACAGGAGACCTTTGGCCTGAACATTGGACACATTTGACAGCTGTGCAGCAGTTAAGATGAAGGGGTCTGTCTAGAATCTACCTTGTCACACCCTGTGCAGAGATGGGACAAGCATTGTTCTGCTCAGGCCACAGGAAAGAGGTGTATTCCAAAGGTACTTACTCCTCCCAAAGGGAAGTGGGCTAGGAAGGACAAGTAAACCTACA